TTCAAAATCAAAATATCACTAATCATCTCCCACCAACATCTTTCACCATCAAGATATCTCTAATTATATCCTACCTCCTTAACTTTATTTCAAGACACCAAAAGCTTCTTTATGACTTTGCTAGTCTTCTTCACTCACCTAAGGTAAGGGAGCTAAGAATTGATCTCTTGTGTACTCATTTCTTTTTATTATTGTTCATATATTGTAATACTATCATCTTTGTTTTGCTTTGAATTCTTGTACTTTGTTGTGTTCCAAAATTTGTGGGAACAAATTTGATTGTTGTTTTGCTAAATATTTTTTTTTGGCAAATGGTCAAATTAAGGGGAGGCTTCACCAAAAGTTTTATAGAATTTTTAAATTTTGTTTGGTAATTTTACAAAACTAAGAATCTCTACTAAACCAATATGCCAGTTCAAACCTTGATTGAACATGACTGAATCAAAATTTCATAACTTTCATTTTACTTATCCAAATGATCTAAAACCAGTTTTGTTGGAAACTGGACTCAAGTTGATTCAATAAAAGATTTAGAATCACTTAAAAGTTTTTGAAATGATGAAGACAATTGTTAGGTAATTTGGCATTTCAGTTATGCAAATCTAAATTAAATTACATGGGTTTTATGAATTTATTGTACCAACTACGAATACTTTTAAAATATATTTTGATTAAATATGTTTTTAGTCTATGAACTTTTGTTAGTTTTTTCTTAACTTTTTTCTCCATTGACAAAAAGAAACAACAAGAACCAAAATTTTAAAGGAAGGAAAAGATCAAGAACTGAAAGTGAAAATTGACAAAAGTTTAAGGACTAAAATCAGGAAAAAAATAATTGTTCAAGGACTAAAAACATGTATAATCTAAAATATTTTTATATTTTAGAAAACTATACGTGATGAAATTTCTTACTAATTTTATATTTTCAATACCTAATTTACTATTTTATAAAAATTAGTTTTCTAAAGATGAATATGGAATTTTCAGAATTTTTGGTAAATATGAACACCATATTCAAAAACATACCACAAACTATTCAAAATAAGTTTTGGCTTTCTAGAAATATAACTATTTTGACAAAGTTATGGACTTCAAATTCTAGTTTTATATAAGAAACTTAGCAATTAGTTATCTAGGAGCACATGAATTTGTATAAATTTTCATAATTTTTTTGTAGATTTTTCTAAATACAATTTTTGCCATTTTATTAGAAACTAATTTCATAGAGCTTTTTAATCATATAAATATTGAAGTTTTCAAAATTTATTATAAACTAACTGGTTCATCAAAGCTAGCTAGTGAAGTTGTATTTCAACTAATTTCTTAAATAAATAAATTTTAAACTGACTTATTCCAATTACTTTGCATAGTATTTTGTTACTAAGTTAATGCTTTACTTTCCATTAATTTATCTACTTTTAACTTTTACTATAATGACTTTTTATACGGTTGGGGATTAATATTGTTTTGTCTTAACAATAATGCGTCGTGTAAGAAATCTTTA